ATTTTTTTTTTTTTTTTTTTTTTAATTTATACAATGCAACCCTTCCCCTGCCATGGTTACCTTCTTTTTCTGGAGTCTCGTGGCATTTTATTAATATCTCTATCATTTGGATTTGTATGTATTGTAATGTATCTGTTGATACATAACTGTCATCTTAGTAGACTCCCAGCATTTCAAGACCTTTGGACACATAGTGTATACTTAAACATTTGGGTGACTAAATGAAGATCTCTTTTGAAAAAGATCTAAGTAAATAAAATATCTACTCAGCATGTAGAATACAAGCATTTTAGGGAGAGTTTTGTGTGTGTGTTGAAACATCTTGTGGAACATTTTAGAGGCTCAAGACCAAGTTTCAAAGGTTATCCAGTAGATTTACACAAAATCAAAGAGATAATTGCCTTTAGTTTTCAAATCCATGGAGAACAGGAGTCGGATGTCTAGATAGAAACAGGGCCTTGGTCATTCTTGGTGCGTCTTTGGGAAATCATGCCCCTTCCCTGTCTTTGAAAATATGAATGGCCAAGAGAGTAAACACAGGAATGATTTTTAGAAAGGCAATTTGAGCACAGAAAACCCTGGAGTAAAATATATGGAAGGAGAGCTAGTAGAAACAGGGCAGGATCTTTCTGTGCAGAAATTCTAAAAAATGTGCGTATATGCTGGGGCAAAGAGCTGTGACCCAACTTTGCTCCAAAAAGAAAAGATTTGGGCAGCTCATAAATATCTAAGGTGTGGACAGGATTACCAAGGAAACTGGACCAAATGGAAAGGCATTTCGGATGGAGCAATAAAAAGAAGCTGAGGTGAGCTAGCATACTGAAATGTATTTCAGGGGGACCGACGGTTTTCAAAGGTAGTTGCAGATTTACCCCTCAGATTTAAAGAAGAAAGTGAAATGGGGACAATTAATTCTGTATTATCTCCTGTGTCCATGAAATTAGAAACAAGTCTCTCAGAGCAGCGCTTTTCTGGCCTCTAATACTGAAAAGAAGTGTTTCTAATGGTTCCTAAGAAGAGAGTCTGTGCGATGTAGTGCAGATGCGGGCTCAGCAGCTCATTCCCAGGTTGAGTCCAACCGCTTGAACACACATTCAGCCGAGATCCTGCAGGAATTCCCTAAGGGCCAAGGCAGAGTTGGATGGCATTCTGCCTCTCAGCGTCTCGTTTGGCCAAGGGGTAAAATGTGCCAAAAGACACAGACTGTATCTGCTAGAGATAATTTTCCATTTTCTTTCCCTCCCCCCTTTTCTAAAATCTGCCTGCACTACCCCTTACCTACGGAAGCTAAAGCCTGTGTGTAGAACCTTTTGTTGGCAGTGAGGGGCAAATCCATACTATTAAATAATCCAATAAGCACACATAGGGTTGGACTCTTTTAGGGAAATTACGTGTTTAACCCTATCTTCATTTGTGGAAGGACGTGGTATACCAGAAATAAAAAGGTCTACCTTTTATTAGGCAGCTTAAGCATAAGTCATGCTGCTTAAATACATTTGAACGAGTTACCTTTCAATTACATTGACTAGGTTTAAATCAAATTGATGTATACCATTGGAGAAACTTTAACTTAGTAATATTATATGTAAGTGCATTTTAACTTAGAATGTAAAAGTGTTAGAAACTGCTTAATTCATTTTTAGAAGGAATATTTTGTGTATTTTAAAGGAGTTATTTGACTTATTTCTCAGTGAAAGCAGAGAGATACACCTTACTAATTTTTTTTTTTTTTTCTGTCTTCTCTCTGCAAATGTAAAGCTCACCCAGGTTTGCTTTGTTTTATGTGCCATAAACTTACTTTGTGATGATAGAGAGGTCATTTCTGAGACGTACTTGAAATTGGAGGGAAACCAGAAGTTTAGATTATTCTCAGAATTTTGCGAAGTGACTTTAACAAAACGGAACATTTTCTCCTACTCTGCTCCACAGTGATGTTTTCTAAAGAACAGTCTAGTTTCTTAATTCTTAAGAAGAGTTAGCAAAGTTGGCAGTTTCAAATGTACCCTTGAGGGAGCCCTCACTGGGTTACTCTTTAAAAACAGCCACCCTAGTGGATGAATATTAATGAGGACTGGCTGTCAGTTCCAGAACTGAGTAGAAGGTACCCCCGGATCCTGGAAGAGCAGAGTGTTGGTAGCAAGCGCCACAGGGTTTGTGTGAGGGGCGATCATTCTGAGGATATTAGAACTAAGCACATTGCTCAAATACACCTGCCCCATGGCTTTAGACTTGAGCCAGCTCAGAAGCTGGAGATTCTTCCAAACACTAAAAATAGATATACCATATGATCCAGCAATTCTATTTCTGAGTATTTATCCAAAGAAAATGGGACAACCCATTTGAAAAGATACATGCACCCCTGTGTTCACTGCAGCATTGTTTACCAATAGCCAAGATATGGAAGCAACTTAGATGTTTGTCACAGACAAATGAATAAAGAAGATGTGGTGTATACACACAATGGAATATTATGCAGCCACGAAAAAGAACGAAATCTTGCTATTTGCAACGACATGGATGGACCTGGAGGGTATTGTGTTAAATGAAACAAGTCAGGCAGAGAAAGACAAGTACTGCATGGTTTCACTCAAATGTGGAATCTGAGCACAAAGTAAACAAAACAAAATCCGACTCATCGAAACAGAGACCAAAGGGATGGTTACCAGAAGGGAGGGGGTGAGGGGATAGTTGAAAAGGGGAAGGGGGACTTCGTCAATAATATTGTGATAAGTTTACATGGTGACAGATGGTAACTAGAATTAGTGGAGTGATCACATTGTAAGGTATAAAAACAGCCAGTCACTATATTGTACACCTGAAACTATTAAGATTCTGTACCAACCACTCTTAAATAAAAAAAAAACAAATAAATAATTGAAAATACCAAAATATCTAGAGAGAAAAAGAGAAGGGAAAACTGAAGCCAGTTTACTTTTCATTGGCCCCACATGCTGTGTGCTTTCCACTCACAGCACGTTCGCCATTTCTCAGGCCTCTCTTGGCCCTTTCTGTTTCTTACCCCTCCCCTTTCTCTCTCTCTCTCTCTCTTACTTTTATTCTCTACCAATTTTCTTGTCCCTACCTTTCATTTTTCTCTCTTCTTCTAAGTGTTCTTTTTCACTTCCCTTCATTTTTAGTGCAGTTAGTCTGTACGTCTCCTTCATCTTAAGGCCTTGACCCTCCCCAGGTTCTACAGATCAGCTCATGATTTTGAAGAGAGTGTTTTGAGAGGCTTCTCTTAGATGCTGTAACACACCGATTCAAGGAATAGAAAGTCTAGTGAAAGGGCTGGGGATGGGAGAATTAATTCAACTCAGGCCGCTGTTGAGTTTTAGGAGACCGAGAGTCCGGGTGGAGGTGTTCAGAGTGTTGACCGACCCGTCTTCACAGTCCACTCTCCTGGTAAACCGAACACCTTCTGACCACCGTCAGAGCCCAGAAGTCCGGGACTGTAGGAAAAAGCTGGGAAATGTATGCATTTCTGATGGAAAGAACTGTTAGTGTCCCGCCAGCGGGTCCTTTGGGTCCTTCTTGTTAGGAGCTAAATAGAAACAAGAAAAGAAAATTCTCTTCATCTATCCAAAGCCCCAGGATCTTATCTCGGGCCTGTTGTATCTGAGGGGCTTGGGGGTGACTAAAAGCAGGAAACGAAGGTGTTCCAGAGTTTGGATTTGCTTTAATGGGAACTGTTATCTAGTTTTGATGTTAAGGATATTTATTCAAAATCGGCTAGCTCTAGTGTTGAGTTTAGAGTACAGATATGTGAGTATAAGAGAATTGCTTTTTGATTAACTCAGTGAAATACAGTATTTGTCTGGGGAAATGGCTGTATTTTAAGGGCACTTGGTAATACTCTATTATCACAGTGACATCTGTTGCTGACTAATTCATGCTATTCTCAATGATTTTTGTTTTGAAAATTACCTTCTTAGCTGAGCTGCAGGAAGTAGCTAGTGGCAAAGTGGCATCTGTGTTGCCAGTTATAAAATCCTCCTCCTCCCGCCCTACTCAAGACACTCACTCCTCATGGTGGTACCACGTCCATGGTCTGGTCATTCTTTTGATCACTTCTTTTATTCCATCCGACAAATTACTTGTATTTTAAACACCTGCTGTGCGCCAGGCACTATTCTAGAAGCTGGGGATACAAGGAGGAAGAAGGTGCCCCCTCGCTTAACGAGAAAATCCTGGACTTGCTTATCTCTTAGGTTTTTCGGCGTGAAGTGTTTTTATAGACTCCCAAGTGACAGACTAAAGGGTCAAAGCCCCTTATTACTCAGTGCCTCTTGGTGACAGTATTCATTATCCCTCATTGAGATCAGAGGGTAATTTGTCAATGGTTAGACAAGGCACTTGAGATCCCATCGTTCAAGGTTGGTGATTTGGGTTCGCTCACTGCGCGGACTACGGCTAAGTGAATCATATAAAAAGTGAATGTCTTAGCAGGTGTTTTCTGGTACAAAATAGAAACTAGAGATTGAGAAAAGCAACCATGATTGATGTGTCAGGAAGGGCATAGGCCTATTCCAGTTTTAAAAGTAACTGATGACAGGTGTTGGTCATCATGTGTATGTGTTCAATAGACTGAAAAACAGCCCTGTACTCATAACACAAAAGCTTAATTCCAAGATAAACTGGGTGTTTTGGGTACTTACGGTTAAAGATAGATTTTAGCTGGTTTTATTTTCTGATCGAAGAAAGGGGAAAGTTTATTCTTTAATATATTGACTGTCTTCTCCTTTTCCAACCCAGAACCTCAGTCTGCTGTTTTGGAAACTCTGAAAAATTGTTCAGATGCGGTTCAGCAGGTAAGAAGATCTTATTAGGATGTTGAGTCCCTTTCGCTTGTATTTGCCTTAAAATTGTGAGGGACCCCGATTTATTTTCCCGTCTGGCCTGCTAGCTAGGCCACCCTTGGTTCACTGAGTGTGCAGGGGAATTCTGTCTGGCAGGAGGGGATGTTTTCTTCCACTGAGACTTTGCAAAGAAACAGCCTTGAAGTGGAACCGAGAACAAGCTTCTCAGAAGCGGCATCGTTCTATACCCAGCCAGAGTTGCACCTTCAGCTGCTGGCTCCGGTGTGAAGTGGTGCGTCCACCCCAGGAAATGCCGTGTGGAGAGGTGCTTGGCCAAACTAATAGTCACATGTTATGATTTAAAAAAAAAATCTATCAAGAAAATCAATTGATATTCTTAAGTTGCTTTGGTGGATGAAACATTAGTTAGTGTCGTTTAATTTTCATAGAAACTTTTTTCCTGTTACTAAAAGTCAAAATTTTATGTCTTTTTTTTCTTATACCCAAAAGGACTTAAAAAAAAACGTAAAGAAAGGAAACACTTATATACAATAGTATTGTGGATAGCAATTGCTCTTTTGGACATAAAACCATTAAAAAAATCATTTATACATTCTCCCAACTATGCTTTTGAAAATAATGTAGTATTAGAAGTTACTAAGTAATTACTGAGTAAAAAGAGTGCCTGTTCTCTTGAGTTTGGTCTAGTGGGAAACAAAAAGACTCATCGTGGGTTCTAGGCTTAGTTCCATAGGTAGTTAGTATGTACAACACACAAAGGCTATTTGGGACATAGTGTTCTTCTTTGTAAAATTAAAGACTTTGGTGACTTTTGAGAATTTTCCAAGTACGAAGTGATTTCCCTTTTAAAAAAGCAGCAGTCCTGCATCATATGTGACAGTTGTGCTCCCCCTGGAGGAGATATGAGGGTACAGGATTGGTCAGGGACTTGTTAAAAATGTGACTAGGTTGGCTGATTGTCGTAGGAGTAAAGATAGTATATTTTTAAGGATAGTGTTGTAAAGCGGGGCTTCCCAGCGTCCTTTTGTCGGAGCAGAGGCCTCCACGGGGCTGGGGCACTTGGAGGGACGGAGGGGACTCAGCTGATGGTTATTTAATTGGCCTGCTAGTGAGTGAGATGAAGATGATAAAGGGGTAAAGAAAGAAAGTCAGAAATAAGGGAGAAAAACTGTGCCCTCAAAATAGTCTCTCATTATTTTGACAGCTTAAAAAAATTTTCTTTTTGAGGCACAACTAAATAGTGATTTGAGATAATACATTAGATTTTTCTAAATTCTTATTTCCAAGGCATGCATTGCTGAATTCTTTGTTGTATATGACAGTGCCAAAGAAAACCCGGACAAAAAGTAATCTGTACTGTCGATAACGATAAAACTCGTGCAACGTGGCTCTACATGTTAAGATTCCAGCTGTAAAATTTAATCTGTATATTTATGTGTATAAAATTGTAGTGGTTTTCTATGTTTCCTGAGCTGTGAACCATGGTAAAGTATACTATAATAAGCAGAAAACTCGATGAACTGAGTGATTTTAACACATCTGATGTTGCAGCTTAGAAACTCAAGGGTGAAAGATTGATTTAAGTGTCAGACCTTCTTTTCTTATTGCCAGTGACGTGTCTAGAAGCCAGAGAATATAATTATCCAATGGAGAGGTAACAAATTTGTAAGCCATCGAGGTTCAGCACTCAGCAACGACATTACTTAGTTTTGAAATTATTGACCCTTTGTCGTAAGTTCTTTCTTAGATGATCTGTGTAGGTTTGTAAGTCTACAGTAATCGGCCATAAAAGCGACATAGGAAACTAGAATTGATCACCAGTCTACTGTACACCTATTTTCTTTTTTTACTGTATTATCTTACGCAATTCTCATAATAATTCTTTAAAGCAACTCTTATAATTTATATTTAACTGATAAAGAAAATAATGTTTATGGAAGGTAAACTTGCTTAAGGTCACAGAATTGAGCAAGGGTAAGAGGGAAGATTTGAACAGAGCTCTGTTTGATTTTGTGCCTCACGTCCTCCCCACTGGGATCAAAACTGCTTCCACACGGGTAATTGTCCCACGGCTGTTTAATACTGTCTCGTGCCCAGATCATCGGGCGGCTGAGATCAGCAGCTTATTTTAAAAGCTATTCTATTACATTGAAACTATACCACTGATAAGAGTCAGNACTGCTTCCACACGGGTAATTGTCCCGTGGCTGTTTAATACTATCTCGTGCCCAGATCATCGGGCGGCTGAGATCAGCAGCTTATTTTAAAAGCTATTCTATTACATTGAAACTATACCACTGATAAGAGTCAGATGTCAAGATATGTTTTAGAGACATAGAGACTGATTAGTTCCCTAGACATTGGTAACTTTTACTATAACTTTGGTGGCCTAAGCTGTATCCATTTACTAACTTTAGTGCTTCACTGCTCTCTAAAAAGTCAGTTTTCTTTTTCACGGCATTCACCTTGCCCTTTTCTCTTTAGTCACTAGATGGCAGTTCTGTATCTCTGTAAACGACCACTGTCGGGGAGGGAGCGGTTTTAAGGCGCTTTGCCGGGTGAGGGTTGAGCACAGAGGTTTCCTGGTCCCTCCCAGGCTGCCTGCAATACTGGGGGGCAGCAGCGCCAGGGCCCCCGGCCCCGCTTTCCGAGGCGAGCGCAGGGCCAGCGCCCCTCCGAGCCTCCCTTGGGCTGCGAGCTCAGGCCCCGTCCCCCAGCTGAGCGCGCTGGAATTTAGTGAATGAGTTTTGACTTTTACTCTCTCCCTGGACTTAATAATTCGGAGAGCTCCGCATCCCTAGAAAAACACATGAGTCATGAAGCCTTTTCTCGGCTGGGCTGCGGGCGGAAGCCTGAGGTGCTGCCAGAGAGGCTGAGGCTTAAGGGGAACGGCCGCAGCCCCTTGCCGACGGCCCTGTGCAGCCAGGAGGCTGCAGGTGAACCGCCTTCCCCGGCCTCACCCGCCGTGGCTTTAATGTCAGGTGATGTGCCCCAGAAACCTGCCGTCTAAAGAATTAGTTTATAAAACCCAAATAGGACTGCCTTTCGATTCCGACTATTTTTTGTTCTTTGGTATTTGAAATACTGTTTTAACTGTAAATACCTTTACATTCCACGCTATAGAAATAGTCAAACATCAATTCCATTTTCTCTAAAAACAGTAGCTTCTCGTTAAAGATTAATATATGGCAGAAAACCCGTTACCACCCAGTTTTACTTTTTTTTTTGCTTCTGAAATTGTATGTAAAGTTTGTGTTTTTGAAGTCATCTCCTAAAACTCTTGATATCCTTTCTAATGCAAATGGGCTAGTTGATAAGTAAATAGAATACAATTTGATCTTTAAAAACTCTAGCGTTGGGTAAAAAGCAGTAATATATCAGGCACTTGAAAGTTGGGTATTTATTACGTATTTATTAGTTGTAAATAGCCATGTACATTACAGAGTGCTGGATAATAAACAGAAATACAGCAACATCAGCCCTCTTACCCTACATGTTGTATGGTTTATAGGCAAATAAATGGTCAGAGATCAGAAAAGTGCTTATGAATTGAGATAACTGGTAAAATCTGATCTCAGTCCAGCTTTAATCTCCTTTGAAATTGGCTTCAAACTTCCCTTTGGATCCTGCTCCAATCAGGCCTCCTGGGTTCCCTCGGTGCCCACTTTGCTCACACTTAGTTGAGGAATTGAATACTCTTTTCCGTTGCTTCTCCACAAAGTATCTGTTATAGTCTTTATACAATGATCATTCAGTATAAGTTATTATTAGATTCAGGAGCATCTTTATTTAAGAACAAATCAAGGAAACAGATGTGAACGGTGTGGGTGACCCAGCCGATGGGCTTGAGGGATTAGTCACATGCGCCTTGGTGTCGGAAAGTTTATAAAGTAAAAGAAATATCAGCCAGATTAAAAAAAAAAAGGTGTTGGGTGGACGTAGTTCTGCAGGAATAATGATAGAAACTTATAAAAACAAGAAGCCACTTGAATGGTGTTGGAATGGGTCAGACATGAAAAGGTTGGGGAAAGACAAGTTCCATCGAAACTCTTAAGGCAAAAAGTAATGAGGCCTCCCTGGCCGGTGTGGCTCAGTTGGTTGGGCGGCGTCCCGTGGATTGAAAGGTCGCTGTTTTGATTCCCGGTCAGGGTGCACACCCCAGTTAGGCTCGATCCCCGTAGGGGGCGTGCAGGAGGCAGCCCATCAATACTCTGCTCTCACATTGATGTTTCTCTCTCTCTCTCTTCCATTTCCTTCCTCTCTAAAAATCAGTAAAAAAAAAATCTTTTAAAAAAGTAATATAAATTGATATGGTAATTGTAAACCAACAAAAGGACAACTCACAAGACAAATAAGCAATTAAAAAATATCAACCANATAAAAAAAAAAATCTTTAAAAAAAGTAATATAAATTGATATGGTAATTGTAAACCAACAAAAGGACAACTCACAAGACAAATAAGCAATTAAAAAATATCAACCAGAGTAAGAGAAATAGGGGCATAGAGGACAGAGAGAGAGATGGAGTCAGGAAACATGGGTCAGTCATCCTCGAAGTTCACCTCATTCTCAGGTGCTCGATGAACACTTTGACCCAATGAGTCTGGGGAGGGGGCAAGGTAGGAGGTGGCAGGGGAGGGGTAGGAAATTCACTTATGTTCATACCATAGTGACTGGCATTGGGCCAGTTTGCCTGGGCACAAATTCCAGTAATTCCTCTTCTAACTGGAGAACCTAAACAAAGCTTTTTTCTCTGTTCCTAGTTTCCCCATCTGTAAAATGGGTATATAATAGCTCCCATCTCATAGGGCTTTTATGAGATTTAAATGTATTAACTTATGCAAAGTGCTTAGAGGAGTTCCTAGCACAGTCAGCACTCAAAATTTTAAATGTTACTTTTGTCATTATTGTTGTTATATCCGAGCAATACCCTCGTTTTCGAAGTTGCGTTCCTAATATACTTGGTCGTCATTCATGGATTCTGTGTTTGC